CGATATGCTGACTCTGTAAACCACTTAGAGAGGGCTGAGAGCCCTATGAAGCGGTATATAAGTCTAACTGCTATTGCTATCTCTGCAGCCTTCTTCCCACTGTAGGCAAGAGGCCTTCCCTTCCCCATCCTAACCTTCAACTCCGGCTCTCCTGGTGGTCTCCTTTCCATTCATTCTCCCTATCTTTACTTAAACCGGAAGAAACAGATGGCCCCCTGACCCAGCAGCTGCCCCTTCATTCCCCAAAGCCTGACCAGGATGGGCCTGGCTTCCTCACTTACCTAGCCGGGCTTCCACGGGGTTAATGACGTGTGGGAGGCTGTGCACACTCAGGCTGTAGCTGGCGGAAGAGGGGTCGAAGCGGGGCGTGACTCCCAGCGCCGCGTAGTAGAGGATCTGTGGGGGGGCGGAGGATAAATGTGGCCCCATCAGCCTTGACCTGGAAGGAGGTCCGGCTCCCACCACCCAGCCACCCACCCCACGGCCTCTGGCCTCACCCACTTGAGAGTCCACGGAGAATTCGGCCAGCGGGCTCAGCTTGTCCAGCAGGGGCTTCACGAAGCGCCGGAGGGCCCCCTCGATGTCCCAGTGGACGTCATGGGCTTTTGGGTCGGGGTTGAGCAGACTGAAGGTGATCTCGTACCCTGCGGAGGAAGCAAGAATGGGGTAGGGGGGGGTCAGGAGTCTCGTTACAAGGGGGGCCGCAGCTCCTTCCTGAGCAAGTCCCGCAGACCAGCCGGGTGAGGAAGGGGCCCCGTCCCCTGGGAGGACTGGTTCAGGCCAGGTCTTCCGATGGCCCCGTCATGTCACCCGTCCTTCCAACTGGCCTCTTCCCACGGGGGGGGGGGGAATAGAAAAGAAAGTATTAATATATAAGTACACCTGAATGAGATATAGAGAGGGGGGAGGGGAACAGTAAGGAAATGATAATGAAGAAAAGGGACTAGGAAAAAGGATAAGTATAAAATTATAACAGGGTTTGTGGGAATGCCATCCCGAAAACACGTCAGTTCGGAGTTGAAAAGAGAGAACCACAACAACAGGAAAGGAGAGGGAGAGAGGAGGAGAGGAGAAGGAAGGGGAGAGAAGGAAGAAAGAGGAAAGGAGTGGGAGAGAGGAGGAGAGGAGAAGGAAGGNGGGCTGTGTTTTAGGAACGGAACAAACAACTTTATTGTCGCTGTAAATGGATACGAATCAGAATACATTAGAATGAAATTGCGTCGCATACAGATCTCAAAAGGTCCCCCCTCCCACTTTTCTCCTGCCTGAACAGTTAACCAAGACAGCCCCCCCCAACCCCTCCCCCCATCATGCTCACCGCAGCTGTGCCAGGAAGACCCCCATCGTGCGCGCCATGTCCACCTCCACCTTCCTGGGCAGGGAGGTCTCGTTGGAGCCCTCAGGCTCAATATTGTAGACCTGGCAAAAGAGGGCAGGAGCTCAGGACGGAAGCAGAGTCTGCGGTGCCACCCCCCCCCCCAAGATGCCACCGAAGGACACCCCCCCCCCATCTGCTGCCCTTTGCTGGGGGCAGAAACCCGGTTCAACTCCTCCCCTCCCGCTGAAAGGAGAATTCATTCACTCCGAGGGGCAACAGGCTGTGCCCGCTCCTCACCATGATCCCACCCCAGCGGGGACTGTGGAAGGCGTTGGTGGGCACGGGGGCACCGTCCTTCCCGCGGATGTGGAGGGGCGAATGCAGCCGCTCGGGGACGTAGAGCAGGAAGTTGAGGACCGGATAGAGGGAAGCCGCGCTGGAGCCTGTGAAGGAAGCCGGGGAGGTCGGGCTCTCCTGTCCCAGGCGGAGGAAGGAGCCCTACGGTGCCCGAGGGCAGAAGGGATGGCCAGGGCAGGTGGCTCAGAAGGACAGACGGACTAAGGTGCTGGGGGGGAGGAAGAGCCCCCCCTCAAGTGCTCAGGGTCCCTCTCGGGGGGGTGTTCCAGGCCAAGGCAAGACAAGCGTCTCCCTGGCATGGCCTCCGGGAGCCTTTGAGCCGAGGTGGCGCAGTGGTTAGGGTGCAATACTGCAGGCCACTTCAGCTGACTGCTATCTGCAGTTCAGCGGTTCTAATCTCACCAGCTCAAGGTTGACTCCGCCTTCCATCCTTCCGAGGTGAGTGAAATGTGGACCCAGACTGAGGGGGCAATATATGCTGACTCTGTAAAC